GTCTTTCTGTCTGATGTTCACGTCTTTCTGTCTGATGTTCATGTCTTTCTGTCTGATGTTCACGTCTTTCTGTCTGATGTCTGTCTCTTATACACATCTAGATGTGTATAAGAGACAGCGCGGTGGTACCGTTATTTGGAGCACGCGGTGGTACCGTTATTTGGAGCACGCGGTGGTACCGTTATTTGGAGCACGCGGTGGTGCCGTTATTTGGAGCACGCGGTGGTGCCGTTATTTGGAGCACGCGGTGGTGCCGTTATTTGGAGCACGCGGTGGTGCCATTATTTGGAGCACCGCGCAGTAGTGCTGTTATTTGGATTTAGGAATAATTAACAGTGAATGAAATGCAATAAGACATTTTCATTGTTAGAATTTTAATTTTTATTCATTAGCATTAGAACAAAGTTCGAGTGCTACACTAGGTTCTAGAAAATACCAGGGGGTCGGGAGGCAACAGGATGTGTGCATTGCTCCCAAATAAAGGCTTGTACGAACTTAATCCTGAATACACGCGATAAGGTTAAAGGCTAGTAGGTATGATAAGGTATAAGAATAAGGCTCACTCCTGAATACAAGCGATAAGGTATAAGAATAAGGGTGATAAGTATTATAAGGTATAAGAATAAGGATTGTAGGTATAATAAGGTATAAGAATAAGGCTGATAAGTATTATAAGGTATAAGAATAAGGATTGTAGGTATAATAAGGTATAAGAATAAGGATTGTAGGTATAATAAGGTATAAGAATAAGGATTGTAGGTATAATAAGGTATAAGAATAAGGCTAGTAGTTATAATAAGGTATAAGAATAAGGCTAGTAGTTATAATAAGGTATAGGAATAAGGCTAGTAGATATAATAAGGTATAGGAATAAGGCTAGTAGATATAATAAGGTATAGGAATAAGGCTAGTAGATATAATAAGGTATAGGAATAAGGCTAGTAGTTATAATAAGGTATAGGAATAAGGCTAGTAGTTATAATAAGGTATAGGAATAAGGCTAGTAGTTATAATAAGGTATAGGAANCGCAACACATGCGCATGCTTGTAACGCTATACGCAACACATGCGCATGCTTGTAACGCTATACGCAACACATGCGCATGCTTGTAACGCTATACGCAACACATGCGCATGCTTGTAACGCTATACGCAACACATGCGCATGCTTGTAACGCTATACGCAACACATGCGCATGCTTGTAACGCTATACGCAACACATGCGCATGCTTGTAACGCTATACGCAACACATGCGCATGCTTGTAACGCTATACGCAACACATGCGCATGCTTGTAACGCTATACGCAACACATGCGCATGCTTGTAACGCTATACGCAACACATGCGCATGCTTGTAACGCTATACGCAACACATGCGCATGCTTGTAACGCTATACGCAACACATGCGCATGCTTGTAACGCTATACGCAACACATGCGCATGCTTGTAACGCTATACGCAACACATGCGCATGCTTGTAACGCTATACGCAACACATGCGCATGCTTGTAACGCTATACGCAACACATGCGCATGCTTGTAACGCTATACGCAACACATGCGCATGCTTGTAACGCTATACGCAACACATGCGCATGCTTGTAACGCTATACGCAACACATGCGCATGCTTGTAACGCTATACGCCACAAGGCTGGTAAGGCCTGCCATCTCGTACAGTTTAACTCTATCTCTATTTATCTTTATCTCTATTCGGCGGTAGGTGCAAATTCAGCGAACTTGTTCTATTCTAGCTAAAAAGTCTAAATTTGTTGCCCATTTTAGATACATGATAATTCATCATTCACGGTACATTTTGTCAATTATATTTTTATAAGATAGTATCCGTTAAAAATTCCGTAAAATTTAGTCTCCAAGTTCCAAGTTAATTTGTTTAAGGATTTTTTAGAACGTTCGTTTTATTTAATATGCTTGCAAATTTAGTATTTTGGCAAATGCATTCCTACAGCCCTCTGTAAATTAGAGATATATACATAATTACAGATTAATTTGATTTTAGTAAGAAAGTAATTGACCTTCGTAAATTCCAACAATTTTTAAAATAGATCATTTGTATTTAAGCGAAAGTTCCTTTTCTTTTCTACCTATTCAGGAT